TTTAACCTCACCTAATATTTTAAGATTTTAAGTTGAAGTGACGTTTATCATAGTATCAAAGTTTCAGTAACCACGAGGTCATGAGTTTGATTATTACTACCCTCACTTCCAGGTGGGATTAAAAAAAGCACATGCAAATAAATAAATAAAAAAGGCTTGTGTAGCACAAGGCAGAACAAAAATAGGCATATACCATATCCAAGCCTAAAGAGTTCTTGTCTGAGAGAATATGTTAGAAAAATATAAAATAATTAATTTAACTTTACCTAATGCTTTAAGATTTTGGATTGAAGTGATACTTATCAATATTCTCCTTAATATAATTGCATAATTGCATATTAAGATTTGAACTCAAGAGTATTGATTAAGCATAAACAATATTCATAAATTGATTCACGCAGTTTGGTGATTGTGCTAATTATTAGGTAATAGAGTAATCAGACAAAAATTTAAATCTATAAATTAGGCTGGTTTGCCACAAATTTTATTTTATTTTTTAGCAAAAAGATAAAGAGTATTTAAGTTCTTTATTAGGTCATTTTCGAAAATTTACAGCACAGTTATATATTATTTTTCATTTTTGTCCAGTTCCATTGTAGAAAGCGGTAATCATTAAAAACAACTTGGGAAGTTTTATCAAGCGATCGATCACATACATATACACTTGTTATGTTGGACCGACATCGACATGTGATACGAGATACGACATGTTAATTCTAAAAAATATTAAATTTCGACACATTTTGATATTATATAATTTTTTTAATTTATGTAGTGTATAATATATTTAATATTCAATAATTTAACAAAAAAGTAAAGATAAACTTATAATACTCGTCAATTTTGTAAAGAAACACAAGATATCCCAAATGTTTATATTAAATTCAACAAAATAGTAATTGTAATCCAAGGAATCTAATAGTTGGAACTCAAAATATAACGCAATGTAACCTTTGAACCTTTTTGAGTCTTTGCAATGAATATTGGAGTGTCGGGAAGTCTCCGAGTATCGGTGAGTGTCGAAAAGTGTAGGACACGACACGTTAGGAATTTCGAAGTGTCGGTGCTTCATAGCGCACTTCAGTGTCCTTTCATTTAGGTACTCCTCTTTTTCTTCTGCCCCGGTGCATGTTACAACTTCGAGATGTCAGACTTAATTTTACACTAAGGGAACGTTTGGTGGAGAAGAATTTTTTTTATCTGTGAATCTTGATTTTAAAAAATATGATGAAAATATTCAGTTTACGATAATATCTCAAAATTAAAAATTTAGAAAAATTCAATTTTTCGAGAATCCAAAAAAATATGTTATACCAAACGCCACCGAAAGAAATTGTCTTGTGTTCTTTTTTTTTTTCTTTTTTTTTGGAGTTACCCAACCCTAATTATCTCTTTGAGACGAGTTGGCTCCCTCCGGTATCCCCACGAGCTTCGACTCTTTGAGCCGGCTATGAGACTAATCTGGAGTGCGGGGGAACAGTGATGGCTAAAGGTTCAGCCCCCTCCCCAAGAATGCATTCAGCGAGAATATTGTCTTGTGTTCTTCGTGTGAATGCATGGGACAAAATTAAAAGTGTATTATTGTTTCTAAGTGAAAATTATTTATATACATATATAAAAAGCCACAAATGACAACTAAAAATTTAATGAACTTATCTATGATAATATAAGAAAATTATTTTTTTAAAATTCAAAATGATATAATTTTGAGATTTGAAAAAAATATACAAAGTATTTTAATAAATTTCATAATATAAAAGGAAAGTAAAATTTGTAAAACACCCTGCATTTTTTTTAAACCTTAAAATAGCATAATTTAGAATTACTTAATATAACTTTATCTAGAAGCACTCGTCTCTTCTTTATTTGAATTTTTTTTGGTCTGTGAGAGGTAAAGTATTGTCGGTTATCAATGGCCGCCAAAATCCGCAATTTCTAACATATGTTTTTGTTAACTTAAAAGCTTATAATAATATATATATGTTTAAAAAAAAAACAACTTAAAAATTTTCCTCCAAAATCACAACAGGCTGGATGGAATTGAAAGATAATTTTTTTTTTTGGTCAGATAACCCAATAACAAATCCATTATTGGGTCCGATAGGCCCAACATCCTCAACGGGCTTTCCAACTTGAAAATATGTATAGTAAAAGACAAAGTCAAAAAATAAATAAACCAACTTTCAAAAAAAATAAAAATAAATAAATAAACCAAAAAATATTAACTAATAATAATTAAACGCCATCGTATTCCAACTTTCAAAACTGCTCCAATTAAACCCTGCAGGGGCGCGTCTAGGGTTTAAGGGTTTTAGGAGCGAAAAACTTTCCAAAACCAAAACCAAAAACCCAAACCCTCCTTACCGATATGGGAAATGTGCCCTTCCTATTAATTTCAATTCTCTGGGTTCCTAACCCTAATTTTCCAGTGCCAGGAGATGGCTGAGGTTGAAGACTCGCTTCAACTCAGCGGCTTTGCTCTTGCCGATTCGTTCATCAATTTCGATTACATGCCAGACATTCCTGTTCAAAATGACGACGATGGATCCGACCCAATTGCTGTCGGATCCAGGTCAGGATCTTCCGATCTGGATTGTTCCAGTAATAGTATTGAGAAAGGGATTGAGAAAATCAGCTTAGTTGAAATTGGGGGAAATGGAAGTGGCGATGTTAGTGATGAGATAAAAGTTGATAATGTGGTTAAGGATGAGAGTGAAAGTTCTGAATCTGAGAGTGTCAGTGACACCGCCACATCGTCTTCGAGTTTCTCCGCAAGCAGCAGCAGCAGCAGCGGTGATAGTGATGAGGAACCACTGGATGAGAAAGGGGAAATCGAAGAAGGTGAAATAGTAGATTCTGATGCTGTTGATAATGATGATGATGGTGAAGAAGGTCCAGAGGAAATTACTAGTTGGGGAATTCTTAATTATGATGATGATGATTATGATATTGGTGATGATGACCATGACAAGGGTGGTCGCATTAAGTCAAGGAATGAGCTTGAGGTGTTGTTTTTATTTATCATCCATTGAAAAAATTTCTGTTATAAACTCTTTAATAAATGGCTAAATTGAGCTAGTAATGCAGGTGAAAGAACCACTTTCTGTATATTCTGTTCAGATGAGTCTGACTTTGTTTACAAGTTTGGCTGTGAAGTCTTATTCTTAGATGCGTTCACATAATCTTTTTAAAAAATAATGGATATCAGTGGTTTATTTAGATGTGGTTGGGGATTCTGGTGAGAGGTCTCTGTAGGGTACTAGAGTTATAGAAACCATAAGAGTCCAGAAAATTAGGAATTGACTCACATTATTTAAGTTAAAGCCATCAATTGAAAAGGAAAAAACCCTGGGTAAGAGTAGAAGATTTTTCACAAAATGGAGGAAATTATAACTTCTCTCTCAATGCATGGCGAGAACAATTACTTTCTCTTGAAATGGGAGCACACACCTCTTTCTGTACAAAATAAGAGAAGTATTTAGAAGACTCTAAATGTATTTTCACTCTTAAACTAGGATGACGAAACTAACGGATGAGGCATGTATCTATAGGTGAAAACCTCTTCCTATTTTTTTCAGCACCATCAATCATGCCAACCGTGTCTCTTTAAAGTCAAAAGTTGCCAACCACATTTACCTCTTAGTAAAAAGTGACGAAATACAAAAAAAAAGTGACTTTACATTTTTTCTCCCCCTTTTGACATTATAGTTGATATGAATCTTGGGAGAGTCTCATCCTAAAAGCTAGCTTGTAAGGTAGGAGATTCCAAAGTCCCTATAAATCCCACACCAGAACCTTATGCTTCTGATGTGAGACTCCAAGTTCCACACTTTACAACTGGATTGTAACATCCCATTATGCTCTGCATCCCCGGCTTCTACGCGAGTTAGCTTGGCACTAGTTTTTTACTAATCCTGGACGAATACTGCAATGCCAGTGTCACCAGTCGCACCACTCATTTGCAACTGGGAGACATAGTAGAAGCTTTGATATCAATTGATACGAACCATGGGAGAGTCTCACCCCAAAATTTAGCTTGTAAGATAAGAGAGCTCAAACTCTCTATAAACCCCACATTAGAACCTTTATGTTTATGATGTCAGACTCCAAGTCCCATACCTTGCAACTAGATCGTAACAACAGTCTCATCCCCTAAGCTAGTCTATGAACTCTTTTACAGATAAATTCTATATTATACCCTTTTTTATTGGTGATTATCACATTACAATTAAAGACATGCACTTGGTGGGTTTGAATCCTGTGATTTCACTCTCAAGATGTTTAATTATGAGTTTGGTCTGTTCTGGCATATTATTGTGAGCTGATTATACTCTCACCGGTTAAAGCATAGCCTTTGACCTGTTGAGTCTTTGATCTTTTACTTTGAATCTATATTAGGGAAATTGAAGAAAGTTTGAATAAAAGAAATTTGTATAATCTTTTGTTACTCAATGGAATATATGTTACACACGAATGCCGGTGAAGGGTGCGTTTTATTCTATATTATCTAAAACTAATCTGAATAACTAGCAGGCCTTGCTGTGCGCTGTTTTTTGTTTATTTATTTATTTTGTCAATGGATATTGTTTAATTTTATTTTGCTTTGGGTTTTTTCTTTTGGTTGTGAACTTTTCAGATTCTTCCTTTAGTTCCTCCTGTGAATGTGACCTTAGAACCACATCATCAAATGCTGCCAGTGGGAGTTGTTATGTCGGTAAGCTGACAGAAACCTCATGTCTGATAAGAGAAGCAAAATAGGCATTCTAGTGCAAACTGTATTGGTTGCAAGTTTTTAATTTCTTTAGGTTGCATGGTATCCCCTAGTCTGTTTGTTTGCGACTATATTGGATAATATGGCAAGAGGAAACAGATCAGAAGGGATACCAGTTACTGTTGGAATCAACTTAATCCAGTAACCCGTTTTACAGATTCTTGGTGCTCAAGTCATTGTGGAAGGGGTGGAGAAGCATGACCCTCTTCGTGAGGGTTCTATTCTCTGGATGACCGAAAGCCAAACACCACTAGGATTAATTGATGAGATCTTTGGACCAGTCAAAAATCCTTATTATATCGTGAGATTTAATTCTGAAAAGGAAGTCCCTGAGGGGATCCATGGGGGCACTTTGATCTCTTGTGTTCCCGAATTTGCCAGTCATTTGCTTAATAACAAGGATCTTTACAAGAAAGGATATGATGCGTCTGGTGCAAATGATGAAGAGGTGTCCGATGAAGAAGAATTTTCAGATGATGAGAGAGAGGCCGAATACAAGAGAATGCAAAGAACGACAAAGAGAGGCATAAATAGTCAAAATCCTGGGAAGAGGAAAAACAATAGAAAGAAAGTTCCACAAAAAGATGGTTTCGTGCCTGCATTCCCTGTAGCACCTGCGACGCCATTGCTTGATCATGGACATTGTTCATCATTTTCAGGCATTGGACAAGGCCTTTCTGGGCCATTTCCTCCCGCAAATGCAGGGCCTAACTCAACTACAAGTGGAGTTTGGACAAATCGGACAGCACTTCCGCTGCCACAGTCTGCAATGCTTCCTAATGGATATCCTACAAATGGTGTATCATGGTACCTAGAAAATAATCAAATTCCTCATCAGTTGCCTGTTGCAGGAATTCCATTTCAACAGCAGTTAAATCCCAGCCACGGGTTTCCTCCACCACCTATATTTCCTAGAGTACAGCCCAATATATTTGCACAACCCATGTATGCACAAGGACCTGTGGATCAAAACCAAATTACATTTGGGTTGAGCTCACCCTTCCCGCAGATTCAACCAAATATAAATGTTCATTCTAGTTCTATTCCTTTCAATCAGTATACTCCCCATCAATTTAATCCAGGCGCATCTGCTAACCACGGGAGAAAAACATTTCAAAGAGGTGGTAGGAAAGGCTGGCGACCAGCCAAGTGAAGTTCATTGTTACTTCAATGCACATTGAAACAATTTTTCCTGGTTGGGCTATTGTGGAGGCACTGCGTGCTTCACTTTTTCTTGTAATTCATAGAATTAGAATGAATTCTTAACTTATATTTTTTACCGTCGTCACTTGTTTTCATTAGAGTTGGCTTGTATAGTTTGGTACCAACGGTTTCCTCTTTGGTTGACGAGAGAAAATATGCGGTGGCACGTTATAGCTACAAGCTTCGCCAAGTTTGACATACGCCTACTTCATTGATTAGTGGGTTTCTTGGTAGCAATACTTCATTAATCAGGATACAAGACAGGTGAACATAGTCTTAATCAGGTTTCTTGCAAACGGCTAACATTTGCATTCTCATTGGAACTTTCTTTTGGTAACCTCCAAAAAAAATGTCTAGACTGAACTGTCTTATACACTGATGGTATGAGCACGCTATGATTTATGCCCCCTCATGTTAATTGTTAAGATCAAATGACTTACATCCTCTCCATTAGAATGATGGTAGGAAATGTAGCAATTGTCAAATGTACGAGAAGTATAATCTAAATCAAAAGCATTGATAAATATTTAATCTCCATCCATTAAAGTCACCAACTTACCAACCCTATTCAGCAAGGATAAGTCTTTAATATTCCAATCATAAAAGCCACTAATTAACCTGATTCAGCCTTTGGAAGTCGTTTATCTTAAACATGAATTAGAACCATCAAACGCTCATTGGTTGTTTACCATAGTCAGTCCAAATAATTAACCGCATGCTCTGTTTGTGAGATAAAAGATGAGCAATAATTTTCTCGTGCAGTAGGAGATTATTATCATCTCCCACAGACTCATTTATGCGGGTGAAATCCACTTTCAGAGGAGAAAAAAAAAAAAAAAATATGAAACTCATCTTGAATTTGTGTGTGTAAGAGATAAATTCTTTCTTATGTAACATAAGAATAATAAATCTCATAAAAGATACAAAGGCGAGTCTCAGAAACAAGATAACCTTTTCGTACATACCCTTTCCTCCGGTGGATCACAGAGAAAAGCAAGCCCCTTTGGGGAGGACTACTATGTCCAACTGTGCATAGACTACTTGGGCTGAGTGAGGTACAAAACCTTTCCTCAAAAGATTAAAAAAAATAAAAAATGATCTTTCATTTGCCTTTAAAAAATATGTTAAGAGATTAAAAATAATATATATTTCCTTTTGTTAAATCATCTTAATTAATAAAATATTAAATATTTAATAAGATTTTAATATACTAAATACTTGTATTTTTTTATTTTTAATGCCTAGGAAGACAGGTTAATAAAACACAGAAAATATTTAATTGAAATTAATAATCCAGTAAATGAGAACATTGAATGTTTAACTAGGACTGGTAAGTACTTCACAGTCCATACAAAGAGAATGGTACTCAAAATCAGAACTTTAGGAACCCAGTCTTTGGACTCAAGCTTTGGCATTCCTTGTAAAGTCAGTACAAGTCTGGCAACTGCAATCTGAAAAACGGCATATATCACACCCAAAGCACACACAAGAAGTGCATCCTTTGCATGTTGGAGAACGAGTGCATCCCCTGTAAACTCTGCGACTTGCTCTTTCTTCTTCATCATCACATGTAATTCTGAAATATAGGTTACAGTTATTACTAATAATTTCTCCATGAAATGCATAGCAATCATGTAAATATAGTACTGGTGAATATACAAAATATCCCAGTAATTGGGTTTGAGAAGTACAAATTCTATTGTTGAACAACTGAAGCTGTTATCTCTGAAGGATTTTTATAAATTTTTAACTATACAGTTTACACCTTGGACTTGTATCATTGCTTTATCCTCTTGACTGGATGCAGACAATTTTATAAATTCCAGATGAAATATAATCAACTTATTGGGATTGTAAAAACACTGAATTCATGGTTAATATGTAATATTGATATGAATCCCGGAAAATATATCCTTTTGTTTGTCAGAAAGGTACATTTTGATTTGGCCAGATGCTTTTATTTGAGGAACTTTAGAGGGATTGGAAACTGTATAGAGACAATATTCTGTATACAACATTTGAGAAAGTTAAAGGCAGTAGAATAATGATGAGTGCAACTTTAGTGTGTGTGGTGGTGGAGGTAGACTATCAAGGATTCCTTACCATATCTTTAGATGCTAGCAAAGGTAATAAAACAGAAAAAGGATCAAAGTTAACCTAACTTGGAAAGTGGCAATAAACCATTTATTTCATATAAATTTATAGATAGAAAATTCAATTTGGATTTAGACAAAAATTAATTCATGTTAAGCAGCACGGTGGAAGAGACTACAGGTTATCAAGGATTCCTTACAATACCTTGAAAAGCTAACAAGGGAAACAGAAACAGAAAAAATAACAAAAGCAGCCTACCTCGGAAAATAGCCATAAACCATTTCCTTCAATAAACAAATTTATAGATAGAAAATGCTATTTGGTTAAACAAAAATTAATTAAAAGTAAGGACTAGGGATAAATATGAGCTCTAATCCGACACATGGACATTTCTAACATCAGCATTGAAAGCATAACTTAATCATTTAGCTTTTATCTTATTGAGGAATTGTAATACAAGAGATTAGTATACCTGTCATATGGAAGATCAGAACATTTCCAATTCGTATCAGCCAAAGCATCATGGTGAATGCGACATTCATCTTTAGTCCTGAGACGGAACCTGCGCTCTTTGTTACACCTAGTACAGTGAACAAACTCATCACGGTGGCAAGCTCGTCCATTTTGGGATCTATGGGACCCATTAGCAGTTCTTGATACTTGATTGTAGTATTTGAGCAGCACTGTTTTAAACAATGGAACCTTCTCACCATTAACTATTACCCAGATATTATTCTTCCATTTTCTGGCTGTCTCTCTTCCAGAATGTTTCTCAAACGCAGCAGGAGTCAACTTCTCTAATAGTGAAACACCATTATGCAAATAAGAAAGTCATGATTTAAATAAAAATTCTAGAAAGAAGAACACTGTAACAAACAAATATAGCATTCTGATTCAACATTACATGTCAAGGAAGGTAGAAAATTAAATTTGGATAAGAAATATTTTTTAATGATAAAAATTCAGAATTTTATACACAATAAATGGTACACTCTCTTCCTCGGATGCTGATCTGTCAAGTGATTATCACATTCAATCAAAATGACATGCTACAATAGCAACTCCATCAAAATTTATTTTCTATGTCAGTATTTCATGTAGAATTATTGAAGAAATTATTTAAATTCTCATGCTGTGCTTTGATACCTTGTGCCTGAACATATAAATGCATTCTGAAAGCAAAACTATGCAGATAATCTATTCATGAAACAAACTTAAAATGACAATGCAGATGCATGGTGTATCTAAGGATAATATTCGAATTTCAACCCCTGCCCCAAGGCATTGATTTACCCCAGGTCCCCTAGCAAAGAACTACTCTTGAGTGGGGATATCTTCCTCCAACGACCTAAGCCAAATAAAAAAGGCTCATTTCATGAAACACATGCACTTCAGACTTCAGAGAATATATATATATATATATATACCATTAAAGAAGAGAACAAATTTTACAACCAAACCCATTATTTATAATAGCTGACTCTTCCAAGCAGATTTCAATGACGTTTGAGAAACCTAGAGTCAGACCATCTCATCTCAACCATAATGGTCAAGATATATTATATTCAACATGTAACAACTAGGAAGTTATGTTCAAGCTCCAAAAGACTCCATGCTAATAAAGAACTTTCTACATTTGCATAAAAAACACTTCCCACTGGTTTAGAATCATCAAACCAGCGAGTTCACTGGGACAAAACAACATACACTTCAACTGGGTAACCGGCAACAAAAAAAAATAAAAAAGACTTGCAAAATAACCACCATCACATAAACTCTCAAGGTCTGACACCTATCAAGGTCAAAAGACGCAAAACAAAGCCACGCACAGGAAATCAACATGCATATAAACAAAAACATCATTGTCAAAGAGAGAGAGAGAGACCTTCTTGGCAACCAGGGGTGCATTCACAAGTGATTTCAAGGTAGCCATTAACGAAAACCCTAAGCCTTCCAACAGCATCACCATATCTATGACTAGTACATCCACAAGTTACCTCAACATAGTCACCAACTCGCTTCACCCCACTCACCTCTCTCAGCTCATCATCACTGAACATCACGAACCCACTCTCTCTCTCCAACCCATTCGCCATTTTTTTTTTCCCTAAAAAAGACTCTGTTTTTGGCAAGAGGGGTATGTATGGAAGGAAAATCGAATAAAGGGTGGGTGGGTCGAGCGAGATACGCGGCGAAAAATCCAGAAAGAAAAGTACAAAGGATATCCTCCAAATGATGGACTTTTGGTACGAGATAGAAATACCCAGAAGAGAAAAACCGCTCAGGAAGATAAGAGAAGAGAAGAGAAGGCCCAACACAGCACGCTTCTCCCAAGGGTTACTTCGAGAGATCTGGCATAAAAAGTTGAAATATTAAGAGGAGAGAGAGAGAGAGAGAGAGAGAGAGGGGTTTGGTTGGTGATAGGTTTGAATGAATGAGCTGGCGAAGCAAAACAAATGTTGTGTAATGTGAGGGGGTTAAAGGCTTAGGGAGCTATTTGCATGATATGACAGTATAGAGAGAGAGAGAGAGGGGTTGCTTTGGGGTGGGGGCATTCGTTTATAGGAAGTCCCTATCATGGGAATAGTCGAGGTTTTCGATAGTTGTTCGTTCTAATTTTTTATTTTTATTTTTATTTTTATTTGCTAGGAAGTTGCACTGTGCTACTGTTCTCGGGGAATAGTGTTCAAGTTGGATGATATTGCATTAAAAATGGGACGAAAATTGAGTTTAGTTTTAATGAAGAAGACTATTTGGAAGAAGAATTTGGTTCCCTACTGCATAAACAGCGATACGGTTCGACATGATTGATGTGAGTTATACCGGTGTAGCACAAACCCATTCATTATGTAATATAAATGTTATGGCATGGATTAATTTGGTAAGCATCTGGATCCCGGTAAGAAATTATAACCATACAAGTGGATCAATGGTAATAAAAGAAGAGAGAACAAAATATATTAAAATAAGTAGTTATAAAATTATAATCGTTGATTTACTTTTATATAATTGTGATCTTCCTACGTGACTGTCATATTTTTTTTTTCACGTGAGATCATCCATTTCCATTTGGTGATATCTTTATGTTCACGGTGATAATCGAGATTACGTTACAGCTTTCAAGATTCATTATGTATATTCAGAATGCAAACTCCCTCGTATTTATTGTTTGTCATGTTGCTTCCCAAGAAAAGGGGCGTGAACCATGACCTATCTCAAAACGGTGACCGCATAATACGTCTTAAATGAACTTCAAAGCAATTATAATTGAGTTTTATACTTCTCATATTCTTATATAATACGAGAAGATAAATTTTTTTACACATTCTTCACTTTCTGTGTTAACATAAGTTCTACACATAATTTTTTTCAATATATGGATCTCATATGACTTTTTTCTTTATGATACAAGAAGGTTCATCTTATATAATATATGAGAAGTATAAAATTCATTATAATTATTCCCATTATATTTTTATAATTACTCTATGTTACTCACAGCCACAATATTGATATAAGGTGTTATGCTAAGAATCTTAACAGGGTAAGAGGAGAATTAGCTCTACACTACATACAAAACAGGATGAACAGAAGACTAGTCAGACTGTCAAGCGCAGCACTTTTATGCTAGTATTTTTCGTTTGAGACAAAATTGGCAAAGTCTTCATTTGAGAACTTCGTAGTAAACATTGCTGAATATTTCAAAAGAATATCACAGAACTTGCTAGTTGCAGATGAATACCGGGACTCGATCAAAATGGCAGGCTAGTTTACCAAGAGAATATACACATGAAAAATCTTCCCAAGAAAAAAACAATCTAAATGCACTAGTTTAAATGTATATCCTAATTGTTGCGAAACACGAGTACTGTCAAAAGTAATGCTTTTTCACATCTATATTTGTTTTTGTTGCCATTTCATATAGTGGCCACTTTAATTTGTGCGCCATACCCTTTTGTGGGAGTTTAATATATAACAAAAGTCGCTCACTATTCCTTACAAATGTACACTCCATGATAGTTACCACATGCCAATATGCTAATCATGTTATCAGATGCAGCTGAAGTACCAAACAATCGAATTAATATATAACATTGACGCTGCAACTCATGAAGACAAATTGCAAATAATCCAATATGTGTCTGATTTGCAACTGAAATTGTAGACAATGTGCTATTATATGCATTTGATTCGGGAGCATATTTAGCATTGATAGAAGCCGTTGATTAAGAAATCTATGTCCAATTTGTTATTATGTCTCCAGCACTTATTTCACTCTGCACTGCAGCATGTTTGGTACCAAGTGTTGGAGATTTGATAATGCAGGGACACACTTTATTTAGTTCTCAATTACATATTTTGCATTGGTTTATCTATCTATATTGGGACCCCCTAACTGGGAAGGTAGGACGCATGCACTTGTGTTGTGCCTCAAGTCAATGTAGTATCATCATCATTTTGCCAAAAGGCAGAGGAAATGCATTGATTGGATTGTCCTTCGTTTTTTTTTCTTTTTTTTTGGTTTTACAAGGGTTATGTTGCAGGAAAAGTGATTGTGTAATGTTATAGAGATTCGTTTTGCGTGCCGTAATTTTCTTTTTTTCTTTTTTCTTCAAAAAATATGGGCTCCACAAAAAGTTATGTGTAGGAAAATTTGTTGTGTCATGTTAAATGACAAATACAAACTCCCTCTTTTTTATGATATGATATATGTGAATAGGCTACAGTGAGAACGGAAAAGGCTAAACATTTTTACTGTGACATGCTATTGAAGCCCCCAAAACGAGTGCTTTTTGTGGAAAGACTGATTCGAACCCGCGACCTGACACACCACGGCAAGCAAGCTTACCGCTGAGTCAAGCCGGTCCTTCAAGTGTAGCATATATATCATACATAATTAATCTCCAAGATAATGTTTATTACTTTTATTTTTCCTCGACAAAGTACTGTTTATAATGATGATAGACTTTTTCACTTTGATGATCAAACCGTAATAGGCCCTTGTATGAAAGTGGGGACATTGACGAAAAATATATATTTTCCTAAATTTTATGTCCACTAGTCTGCTTTGACGATTGAGGGAAATATATTTACAAATAGTTTTGTGATAATGGATTCGAACACCTTTCAACATTTGACACATAAGAGAAAGAATTTGCTTTTGTTGATAGCAAGTCTTGAAACGTGATATTTTGAAAAAATATTTTGATGGCATCACATTTCAAAAAAAAAAAAAAAAATCGAAAAACGTGTTATTCTGGTCAATATCTCTATGAAAGTGTCTCCCTTAGTACTCTTGATACATCATCACGTGTTGAAAGTTTCCGCTGGCCTAAGATTAATAGGTAGCAGAGTTCAACCATGAGCACATGAATTGATCACCTAGGATCCTCCAGCTTGATAGTACAAATTTGCAAATTATATATATATGAAATTTATTAATTTCTTTCAATAGAAGATAACTTACTTCATGCATAGAAACAAGTTATGTGGGTCCCACCATTTTTTTAAAAAAAAAAAAAAAGAATAACACAATTTTTTATGTCTCACTAAAATAATTATCTTCTATAAAAAGAGATAATTTAAACACTATATATATATGCATGCGGAGTTCGTCTTATTATGCGGTTAGTCCTTGCTACTCATTAGCACATTTCCGAATAACAGAAATAGTTTGGTGCCCTCAACCTAATATTTTGACTTCTTGGGACTTCTATTTTTTTCTCCTTCTTACCACCGAATCCAATGAAGAAGAATTTGGCATGTTGAATACAATGGTGCCAGCAACCTTAGCCAATTGAGGAAGGAAATGAGCTTAAACATTGTCACCTCTAGTCTTTACTCTTTACACGCCACCCTTGGTCGACACCTGCCTCGACCATCTACTACCAAAAGGACTGCCTAATAATAATAATAAATAAATAAAATGTAAAGTAATGAATTCGCTGGCTTAACTACCTTGGTTCGCACAACAAAAGAATCGGACAGTGACCCAAATGCTACATATTCCAAAAATCTCAACGGGTCATTTGACATACGAAATATTTTTTTATCGAAAAAAAAAAAAAAAATTGTCTAGGTAAGTTATAAAAAAATGTTTGGTAAATTAAAATTTTATCGAAAAAGTTGAATTAATTTACAGATGTTATGTTTGGCTGGTGATAAAATATTAATGAAATTATGAAATAAAATGACACAAATACCCTTTAATTTTGAATCTTGAATATGTTATCTGACACTACTCTTTAGTTTTTATTCGGATCCTTTCACACACACACTAATTCCACTGTTCTATTTATTGATTATATCTTTATAATTATTTTGACGTTGTTTATTTATTTGTTTTCCAGCTTGTCTATCAGCTGTTCACAACAAATTTAACACCATATATACTGCGAAGAAGATGTCAAAATAGTGATGCAGATGGCTGAAGAGGCGGTCTGTGCTCAAGATAGAGATCCATACACTGCTTTTGCAAACCGTGTAAAGGAGCTTAACTAGGGAAATTCCTATTTTTCCAGGGTATGCGTATTTTGTGGTGTCAATTTAAATCATTCACTGAATAAACTGCTCTTTACTTTCAGCTATTATTTGCAATGCGGCCTATTAGAAAAAAGTGACCTACAAAAAGTGGATCCACTGAAAGCTTATGAATACTTCAGCAAAAGTTTCAAAGGTCCATCAACTTTTACTGTTGTGATTGTTGGGAATAGTGATCCTACCAGTGCACTGCCCTTGATATTGCAGTACCTAGTGAGTCATGGTGGATACACCTCGAGCCAGACCGCAGAGCAAGAGTACACGAAGTCGAAGAACTTGATGTACAACGATTGTGTGTTTTGCACATGGGTCTGAGATGTCTTGTATGATGAGGGCAATTTAGTCTCCAAATTTGGTTTATCGATTCTGAGTACGTGGGAAAAAAAACCATGGGTCGAATGATATTGTGTTTAAGGAATGTGTAGTTGAAAAAAAAAAAAGATGGGAAATTTTTTTTCTTGAATAATTTTCCTTTTTAGCCATACTAAACATGGAAAAATAATCTTCTTCACCTATTTTTCCATCATTTCAAACAAATAACTCATACCAAACACCTTTTCCGCAATCTCGTAGTTCTTGGTGTGTGAAGATATATTGTTAGGTACTCTGTTTTTTTTTTTTTTTTCTCCATTAAGGTAGACAGTTTCTATGGGGCATAGGCCTCCCAAAAAGTAACATAGCAATGCAAAGGTTCCCTCGGGCCAGACGGAGATTAGCCCTCGAGTGCCAAGTCAAAAGGGAGCTTAACTGCAAGACCCAGTCGTCGAGCAGGGACAAAAGTCGGCCTTAGTGATCCGACGATACCGAGTGGAAAGACCGTCGCTCAATGGATAAAAGTAAATTCCACGTGAATATTAAAATTTTCCAAAGTGTTGTGTACAAATAGGTTACAACACATAATGAATTTTTTTTTTTTTTGATAACAACACATAAT